TCGTCTGTCGTCTGTCGTCTGTGTTTTTTTTTCTGGTTGGTTTTTTTTATTGTTTCTTCTCTGCAACTTGGAAGCTTTACTGTCGCCGCTATCGCTCAATGCATCGTTCAATGTTCTTTCTTTTCTCTTCTTTTTTTGGCTCGGGTATCGAGCTGGCCCGTCCAGCCCCGTCGGCATAGTTGCTTGCGACCCGGGGAAATAGCCTCACATCAACTTGAATTCAAAAAAAAAATCATTCAAACCGCTTCTTGACTCTGTGGTCTATTTTCTTGTCGCTATTCTACGCGCTTGACTTGTCGTTGGTACTCCCACAAACAAACCCCGAGATGAGGGAGAGAGTATTGCGCATCAGAAGGTAGACATAATGGCAAGTACGAGTATATACAAGGAAAAAACAAAGAAAAAAAGGGAACACAGGGGCCTGGACGTAGCGTGGGAGAAAAGTCCGTCTTACACTTCTTCTTTGTTCCTTGCCGCTCCGCCCTCAGGCGCGCGCGTACCCTCCCAGCCGCCCTGCCTAACCATGGCGCCAGAGTGTGAATGTAACTCGATAAAGGAGGGTTGGCGGGAGATTTCCGGCGTACGCATATTCCTCTGCACCCACATCCTGACCTGCGGAACAAGACCGAGTTCTGGACACCGCATCGCCGGACGGTACTCGTCGCTGTGAGAGCTGCTGTTGGACATGGCACAACCTGGCGTCCCTGGATATTCAGCCGCGCGAATCGCCCATCTGTGTAATATAATCATCATTGAGTCTAAGGGTATCTAAGGGTAATCTAAGGATAATGATGGACAGTCCATCATGTTACTGTCCCATACAGCGCCCCTCGGTTGGAATGGCCGTTTGAATCGACCACATTCCTGCGCTTCGGGACACTTTGCCATTTGACATAGGCAGTAAACATTGCCGCCAGGACGGTGCCAACAATGCCCAGCGCAATATTCAACACCAGCGGGTTCCCCTGCAGTTGCACGCTCAGCCAGCTTTCCAGCGCGGGCTGAACAAGGTTCAAGACACCCGACACGCAAATCACCGTCCCGTATACTCGACCAAACGTGGCGAACCCAAAGATCTTGGAGGCAGTATACCTAGAATACGTTAGCAATGAGGTCTGTCTATCTTGAGCACTCGTCACTTACGAAACGGCAGAGTAGTAAAACGGCCGAAACGTCACAAATACCACCACCGTCGCCATGCCCGCCGCCACCGATGCGAAGCAGTTGAGCACGCCCATCAGCGCCACATACGCCGTCATGACAGCCAGCACCGTCGCGACGCTGCATCGATTCAGCAGCAGCGCAATGAGCGGCGTCGCCGCCACGCCGCCGACTGGCAGCGCCGCGTTGAAGAAGCCCGCAACCCGCGCCTCGCCGTCCGCCCCGAGCATGTACCGGTACTGCGAGCCAATCGTGGCAATAAAAAAGTTCATCCGCAGCATCTGAAACGCCGTCACGCAGAGCAAAAGTGCGAAGAACGGCGTCGCCATCTGTGCCCGCACCGGCCGCCCGTGCAGCAAGCCCCAAACGGCGTCGCTCGGCTGCTGCCGCGCGGCGTCCTGCTGCCGCAAACGATCGCGGCGCGCGGCGGCATCCCCAGCAAGCTCCTCGATGCGGTCGAGCTTGTCACGTCTCTGCTCCGCGCGGTCGCTGCGCACGCGCAGCAGCGAGTGCGTGTCGGAAATCTCCTCATCCGAGGAGTCGTCCACATCGTCTTCCTCCTGCACCGTGGTTATCTTCCACTCGAGCTCGGGCAGGGTGTGGTAGCGCTGCTTGGGCATGACGGTCCATTCAGCGAGGACAATAGCGGCGGGGACGCCGAGGTACCCGAGAAAAAATGGCGAGAGCCGCAGCCCGGTGGCGTCCCAGACGAGCCGGTACAGGTAAAAGACGGCCGACGAGGCGTCAAAGGCGCAGGTGATGAGCGCCACGACAAGCCCGGCGTGCTGCGGAAATGCGTTGGAGAGCTGGAAGCTTGGTAGGAAGAGAAAAGTGCCGCCGAGGCTGAGAAAGACGTGTCCGAGCAGGTAGCCGTCGAGCTGGGGCGGTACGACGCCGTGCGAGGCCATCAGCAGCGCACCCATGGCGAGGAAGCCGGCGGCGGCCGTGGCGCACCACCGCCGACCGAAGCGGTCGAGCGTGTAGCCGGCGAATAGGCTCGATGTGTTGGTTGTAACCGAGGCGACGACAAAGAGTAAATTCAGTCGCATCTCTTGCTCCGCGCATGGTGGGTGCTGCCCGCGGTGTCGCCGACCCGCGGTGTTGGTACAAAACTCGCTGTAGACGCCTTCGGCCACGAGAATCGGCTTGATCGAGGCGAAGCCAAACACGATGCCTGATGCGAGGAAGCAAAAGGTCACGGCCAGCGAGACCTGGACTGTGTTTCATATTAGCTTCTTGTTTCGCGCCGGTTTGGGGGATGAATGGCTGGCTGCAAAGAGGGGAGAGGAGAAGGAGGAGAGGATTCGTACGGATACGCCGCAGAGTCGACGCCTTGTAGGCGGCCTCGCGGTGCTGCTTGTCCTCGGCGAGGTCAAAGTGCGGCCGCACCGGCGCAAACGCATCAAAACTCATGCGCCGCCACGACGCGCGCGGCTGGTGATTGTCGGCGTCATCGACGCTGTCGTCGTCGGCGGCAATGTCGCACTCAAACACATCCTCCACCGTCAGATGCTGCACCAGGGACATAGTATCGCATGCAGAAAGGACAGAATTTGGTGAACAAAACACCAGGAATAAGGGTAGATGCCGAGGAGAAAAAAGTCTTCTTCGCTGGTTTCCATATTAAAGTTTAACGTGGTTATGTCAGCGCTGCGTCAGTGAATTCTAGCGGCAAGAGGCGTCTGAGTCGTTGCACACACACTGTATAGGTCTTTCTGCAGTGGCGGCTGCTGTTTTATTGTTTGTTGCTTTTATAGTGCGTCGGCGTACGATGTCATCGAAAATGTTGTCGCGTGACCACTTTTGACTGAAGAAATGTAAACTCCCCCGTTATAGCCCCGTCAGGCCCGAGGAACTGGCTCACTTTTCTTCTATTCTTCCATCTTCAAGTCTTTTTTTCTCAATATTGTATACCGAATCCCAATCAAAAACAATGGCAGCTGCTAACAAGATCATGCTCGCCGTCACTGGCGCCGGCGCTCTCGGGGCCGCCTACTACACCACGAGCAGCACGCCTCCGCCGCGGCATGCGTCCGACGCGGCGTCGCACAAAAGGCCCGGCAGCAAGGCCCGTAACAGTAGAGACGTGGAACTCTTCAGGGATGCTATCGGCACCACGGCCGCAGTCGACCCCAGCCAGGACCGCAAGACCGAGATGAAGAGGGCGCCCCCGGGATGAGCTCCGCACTGGCGGCGCGGGGCGAGAGGGCCCCGGCTCCGTCGACGTACCCCGCGGCGGATCCTTGAATCAATTCTGGCAGGCAGGGCGAGCTCAAAAGTAAGACGGACGCGAAAAGAGGTTGTGAAAGCGAGGAAGAGAGCGCAACTGCTGACGAGGCGTGTGGCTAGCCAAAGTCTGATCTGCCAACCAACAATGACGACCCGACCTACGTGAGCAGAAGACCAACAATGACAACCTGTACCTACATGAGCAGAAGAAGCTGCCAACCCAGAATGACAACCTGTACCTACGTGAAGAAGAAGAAGGGGAAAGGTAGCAGCTGTTGACAAAGTGCAAGAGGAGTTCGCAAGACTACGCATCATGAAAAGAGGAGAATCAGAAAGAAAAAAAGAAAAAAAAAAGAAAAAAAATTGAGCTTGTTGTGTTGTACATGGTGAAAGAAATATGCTAGTATTGAACTCGTTGAAATGCATCTTCGTCCCTGGCATACCTCAGCCCCCATCATTCCAGCTTCTTCTGCGTCAGGTCCGCCAGCTCGTCCAGTAGCTCGACCGTCTCCGAGGGACTTGCGATCCACGCCGTGGTGCCCACGCTGCGTGCCTTGAAGTCGTTGCTGCCGGCGCTGAGGAACTGGTCGCCGACGTGGAGCGTGTTCTCGCCCTTGATGGACGCCGCGCCGGCGCCGGCATCGCGCCGCCCGAACCACTGCTGACACACGGCTACGCCCCACGACTTGTCGCCAATGTCGACAAACACGTCGCGGCCGCCGTTGAAGGCGCAAAACGGCACGCCGGCAGGTTTCTTGTCCGACCGCGCCGCGCTACCACCATTACTCCCAACAACCTTGCTCGCGGCCGCCGCCTGGGCCTGGGCGCGCAGACCCAGGCTGCTAATCTCCAGGATGCGCTGCACGACCAGGACCGTCTCCTCGAGGCTCTCGCGGGCAATCTGCACGTGCGGCGGGTCCGGGATGATGCCGACGGCGCGGTCCTTGCGGATGAGCCGCGCGGGTAGGTTCATGGAGCGCAGGCAGTCGCGCAGGGCCGTCTCGGCGACGTCGAGCAGCGCCGTGATGTCGGCCTCGGACCAGGTGGCCATTTCCGGCGTGAGCCACTGCGCGCGCGGCACGGGGGCGAGGCGGTGCGGGGACGACTGCGAGTACTCAAATAGGTAGTTGGCCTCGCCGCCCATGATGACGAGGTTCTGCTTCTGCACCGGGTTGAGCTCGGTCGACGCGGCAATGGTCTCGAGAAGACCGTGCAGGCGCCCGTAGTAGCCGTCGGCCGTCGTGTAGCCGGCGGCGGTGACGATGCCGATTTTGATATTGTTGCGGAGCAGGTCTGCAACATGGTCAGTCTCTGTAATTGAAGAGGTATTTGCGGTTCACGTACGCATCAGACGAGGCACAATCGGACTGCTAGGCTCCAGGTTTTGGCCGTCCTCGTAGAGCGTGACATCACCATCAAACGTGGCGAGCTGTAGAGTGCCGTTGGTAACGGCCATGATCTGGGCCGAGTTGAGAACGAGGCGGACGTCGTTGAACGAGGGCGCGACGTAGCGGCGGCAAGAAATATAGCGCTTGCGGTCCTGGTACTTGAAGGCCGCCTCTAGTGGAAGGCGAGTGAAGAAGGGCCCGGCCGTTGGGACCAGCATCCCGAGCTTGGACGGGATCGGAGAGTCTAGGTTTTGACGGGAAACTACACAGACGTCAGTCCCGGTTGGGGTGGTGGTGGTGAGTGGGGGGTGTTTGTCCCGCTTACTGTGATCGTCAATCATGACCTCGACGTCGCCCATGATTTCGGCGTAGCGGCGATGCGCCTCCTCAGACATTTTGGCGATGCTGGTGCCGTCGCCGACGACGCCGGTGGGCTGCGAGTAGAGAACAAACGGCACGGCGAGGAGGCCTTTGACCCATTCGATGAACTGGTCTCGGCGGTGCGTCTTGAGCGCATCTGGAAGCGGTCAGCGAGGTGTGCGGACCAATACGGTCTGGGGGAGGAGAGAATGCACAAGGCACCAGAATACACGATGTTAGTATCAAAGAGGATTACTTACATTCCACGCGGTATCGGGTCGTCATGGTTCCTCTGGCTCACCGCCGGGTGAAGTGATGGCTGAGATGAGGTTGGCGGGGTCAAGCGTTTGACGGATGCTAGTTAGCTCTCTTCTGCTTTGTTCCGCCTTCGACGATGGCTGGCGACAGACTCGATTATGTGTGAGCAGAAAGACTCTCCAAATACACCAGAGTATAGAAAAGGTGCAAGTAGATCCAGGTGTCTTGCTTCTGTTGAACAGTTGAGTTGATGGCCGTTCAACGGCCCGCCAAAATCATCACGTGCCCCACTCGATTGGTCCGAGGCGGAGGGCGCCGAGACCTTGACAAGACTTGCTCACCAGCTGTATTCATCAGAGAATCAAATCCCAAGGGGAAAAAATCCAAGATTTTGTACTAACACGTCAGTCTTGGCTCGTTTGTGTGGTGATATGATACATTGTGCAGGCTGCCGATGCAGCGACGCCATGGTCGATCCTGGGTCCTTTGTGTGCTGCGGCCAGCTCCGAGGTGCTGCCTGCAGACGTGCATATCAGCCAATCAAGCGATGGATATCGCACAAAACGGTTAAAACGGTTCGAAACGGACAGTAGGACATTCGATCCATTCGATTGCTTCGCTCCTTGTTTTTCGGCGGCTTGGTACGACTTGTTACTACCGCAGAGTTCTTGGCACTGCAGTACATGATGGTTCTTTGAAGGAATGGGTTGCGTAAAGTGTCACGAGCAATGCAATGTAGCAAGATGTTTTCATCCTCTTCTCATTGCTATAACAAGCAGACCTCAACGCGGCCCCGCCCCGAGACACCCTCCACTCTAAATAGTCATTTCCGCTAAATACAACCAAACAGTTCAAGATTGTAAAGTCCTCCCGGGTATAGAGAAAACAAACTCTTGGCGACGGAACTTCAACAATAGTCCAGGGGTGTGTGTCTATCAGACCATCCATCATGCCATTCTTCCCCAGATTCTGCTTACTTTCTCCGCTCCACACGCCCATGGTTGTCATTCAGCTCTCAGCCTTGTGATGCCATCATAAACAGGGACGCCCCGCACGAGAGAGCCCGTCTTGTAATATTGATTTTGGCAGCTTACATGACACAATCGTCTTGGCACACTACTCCGCAGCATCTTGGTGAGGGTCAGCTGGGCTTACACAGGGGGTGATTGACATGAGACGATGGAGTGTGACGGACTACCTTGCAATAAGTGTTTCGCTGAAAAAAAGGGGGGGAGGGCAAATGGGCGTCGAAAGATTTCCTTCGCCGAAATTTGGCTGTATTTAAATGACCTATTATGGTTGTTGTAGCTTCTGCAGCGACCATTACCTCGGTGCTTGTGATGCTAACAGTGTCGGTTCCAGCATCAAATGTACAATCTAGGCCAATATATAATTCAAATCAAAGTCTGATGAGATTCCATTCTGATGGCGGTGTATACGTTAATTCGCACAATAAAATTATGCGCGGTTGTGCGCAACAATATCGCCCGACTCACCGCAGCGGTACCTCCGGCGCCTACTCCGCCCGGTCTTCGGTCGCTTGCTCGGGCTGCTCACCGACCTCACCATTTCTCATACCTCTCTCTCTACCCACCACCCATCCCATAACCCTTTGTCCCCCCCTTCCCATTATCCAAGCTTACATCTCCTTTCCTCCTTGGCCGTGCCGAAGAGTTCATCCACGAGACCCATCGTTTTGCAATGGCCAAGCCCAAGCCCAGAGCACAGTTGCGGCGGCGCACCACCACCGCCGCTGCCGCCGCCGCCCCGCGGTCGTCCCCCCTCCAACAAACCTGCAAGTTCCTCGGCACCACCACCGGCCTGGACCTCACACTGCGCCTCCTGCAAGGCTTCGTCATCATCTCCGCCAAGGCCACCGACGAGGTGCTGGCCACGCGCAGCTTCATTGCCTCGGCGCAGCTTGATCTCGGTACGCCCCGTCATCTCCATGATGGAATGCCCATGCTAATGACAACGAAAATGACATAGCCAGACGATATCTGAGATTTTTTGTCCTGCTCGACTGTATACACAATGTACTAGACTGTAGTATGAAAGAGTACAGGTCGCTGGCGTACAAGACGCTCGACCTGCTGGAATGGAGCTGTCTGCTGCTGTACTTTGCCCTCGAGAACCTGACCATGGTATCCCCCTCTCCCTCGTTCCTTTCCTTTCGCTACCAGTTCCGACTCTGACTTGAATATTTGCTGTCAGCTCCACGACATGAAGATTCACGTCGTGCCCTGGTACAGACCCGTCCTCGTCGAGGCCAACAAGTTTTGGTTCTACGCCATCCTCGCCTCCATCATCCGCACCGTCATCCAGCGTGCTGGCCTCTTCTCCGGCAGCACCAGAACCGACAAGCAGAAACTCGCTTCCCCGCCACCGCCGCCGCTCAGACGCCTCGTCATTGACGCGCTCGATCTCACCCTGCCCGCGTCCTTTATCGGCTGGGTTGCGCTCGACGACGTGACCATTGGTTGCCTCATGACGGTGAGCACGATTCTCGTGTGGAGAGATGTCTGGGAAAAAGCACAACGAGACCAGGCTTGATGCCGGCTTGATGCCGACTTTATGTTGACGTCTTCATCCACGAATATGACTAGAATCCACCCGTAGCACATTGGATCAATCAGTAGACACATCAATGACCATACGATAGACGATTAAACAAAATAAATCATTATTCTTTTTCTTCTTGCTCACATCTTCTAGACATTGTCCCACCCACACTGGCAGATGCCCGCAAAGTCGTTCGAACTGGACCCTACACGTGCCACGAGCGAACCAATTGTCACCCACCCAGTGTCACTACCTACTACTATATATAAAGAATTCGTTTCCCGAACGGTCGAATCATGTGTCCGAAACACCTATAATCCTCGCCGGTCTTAGGTATCTTGATGCTGTCCACCACTTGCTCTTGTGCTCATCACCAGAGCCCGCCTGCCGCAACAAAACGACGCGCGTGCCTGGCCCCCCGTGATTCCTCGCTGTATTAAAATGCTCATTAGGCCTAGTTGGCACCCCCATTGGGTGGCTGCTGTGCTTGTTGTGCGGCAATCGTCTCGGCCTTGGCGATAATGCTCTGAAGCACGCTTTGGTCCTCTGGCGACAGCTGACCAGCGAGGCTACTATAGAACTCGGGTTGCTCTTGTTGCATTTCTGGAATTGTTAGCATACACAGTAAGAAGATTTCTAGAATGACTTACTCAGAAGTGTGCCTCGGAAGAGCTGGTAAGGCTCAACCTTGTCGAGTGGCGACTCGAGCAGGACGCTATCTTCTCTGAGCTCATCCTCCTCATCGTCGTCGATAGCACGGCTAAACTTTTGGGCCTGAAAATGTTAGCGAATTCGACATCAATGCATGATCCATTTGCTTCTTACTTCGCCGTGCAGAAATTCGAGATAGGCATTGCTCTCCTCCTTGGCCTCGGCTGCCTCTTCCTCGACGACTGGCTCTGCCTCTTCCTCGGCCTCCCACTTGGATTCGTCCTCATCCCACTCGTCGTCATCATCATAGGTATAGTTGGTAGAGAAATAGGGGTCATCGCGGAGAGCTTCTTCACGATCTGCTAGAATATTAGTATAGTAATTAAATTATGCATCTAAGCATACGTACTTTTGAGAGCGGCGGGTAAAGTGCGGAAGAGCTCCGTGATGCCCTGAAGCAGACGCGGCCAGCCAACAGCAACACTTGGAGGAACCTGCTCGTGGTTAAGATTGAGAAGGGCCGAAATGGCGACAATGCAGAGCTTCTTGTCGTGAACACGGCTGAAGGAAGACATGCTGCCGAACCACAGGCTGAAGAAGCGGTTTGTCCAGCCTTTGGCCTCGAGAATCTGGAGGCTGAGAAGAGGGTTATAGTGGATGCAGTTGATGATCATCTCAACAAGGTAAATCTTATAGCTCTTGGGCTTGACGTCAGGTTGAGCAGACAGGACGGTCATGGCCATGGAAATGAAGCCCTCAATGTACTGGTCAATGTTTCCGTGAAGACTGAGCATGAGAGCCTCGGCCAATTTGCAGGCGCATATTCTCTCAACACCACCCTGGCGTGGATCAGTGAACATGTCCGAGACCATCTCATAGAGAGCCCGGACGTATTCGGGTTTCTGGGCCAGCTGTGGGGCACCATACTGGACAAAGTTGTCTAGAGCAGGTAGCATATCTTCGAGGTAGAATTCGGCACCAGACTTGAAGGTTGTATGAATGAGCTCAAAGGCTTGCCACATGTTAGGGGAGATGGCCTTGGCAGTAAAGGTGCAGCTGTCAATGATTTCGAAAGCCTCGTTGTACAGGTCTGCCAAGTTAGTGTGGGTTTTGGAATCCATCGTGGGAAACATACCGTAGAGCTTGTTCTCGAGAGTCACCTTAATGACAGGCATGAGGACAGCCTCAATGTGGAGAAGAACATCGGGGGTGCTTTCAAGAGTCAGAACAAGGGTTCCAATAGTCTGCAGTACGCCGAGAGCAGTGATGCTCTTATCATCGTAGGCAATGTATAGTTCGTCATCCTCGCCAGCCCTGCTTTCCTTCTCAAGGAGCTCGCGAACAATTCGCAGATATGTGTCTCTGAGTTGTTCGCACAGAGCAACAGCAAATGGAGTCAATTCAGTGGCAAAGACCTCGACAAAGTCCTCCATGACATTGGCGAGCGCATCGATATCGGCCTCGTTGGCGAGCTTCAAGAGTTGTTGCATGATGGTGGGAATGCTCTGCTTCATATGCTGGCGAATAACGTCGTGGCGGATGAGGGGCTGCAGAGCGAGAGCAGCGGTGATACGAACGGGGAGGGCTTCATCAGCCATGCCGTCGAGGATGTGGCGATAAATGGTGAGCAGGTTGTTCTGATTCTGGAAGTCGAGCTGCTCAAACTTTTCAATGGTATCGCAAGCACGGGCACGGAGGTAACCCTGGGGGCTCTTGAAGTCGGGGAAGACGTATCGGACGAGGAAGTATTCAATCTGGTCGGCGATGGGGCTCTTTTTGCCGAGAATGACGGGAGCAAGAGTGCCTATCATGCGCAGGGCACCTTCTTTGGCGACGTGATTCTTGGCTTCGGGAGCAGCTTCCTCGTACTCGTTGACGACAGCGTTGACAAATTTGAGAATCTCAAAGGTCTCCTTGCGGCGCTGCTTGGTGAGGTTGACAAGGAAGTTGGTTGCGGCCACGTCAGGGGCGGAGGCTTCCTCAAAGTACGTGAGTTTCCGATGCAGGTACTCTTCGGGTTCTTCTTCGAATTTCTCGAGATCGTCTTCGGTCAGGCAAAGGACAGGGAAGACGAAGTGGGTGACGAGGTTTGTCAGGTGCGGCTTGAGGTGCGGCCACATCTCCTTGGGGCCGACAGCCTCGTCGAGGAAGATGAGAGTGTAGGAAAGACAGGGTCGGCTAAGCCAGGAGGTCTTGGCCACCCACTTCTCAATCTCGTGGAGGTAATGCTTGAGGATCTCGGGGGCAATGTTGGCGATGAAGTTCTTTGCAAAGGCAATGGCGTCGCTCTCCTTGCCTGGGACCGCGGGGTTGCCGTGTCTAGGAGCGATTAGCAGAGGGGCGAGGGGGGGAACATAGCAACTATAGCATACCGAATAAACAAACGGTTCAAGTTAAAGTAAGCCCATTTCTTGGCCTTCCACCAGTGATGAAGTTCGCGCTCGGTTGGTTCCTCGTGCATGGCGCTAGCAGGAGCAGCCTTGGCAACTGTCTGGAGGAAAACGGTGCACCAGGCAATGTTGGTTTCGGGAACGCGGAGGGCGGGTGCGAGCTCGAGCTAGAAAGGGTCAGAGAAGGGGCGGGGTGTTGGCATGCTAAGGAGATGCATACCCATGTCGCGTGCTTGTACGTCTTGAGGGCCAGGTGAAGCATCTCACCAGCCTCGTCGCTCTCCTGGTTGACAAGCTCGTTGCAAATGGCTAGCAGGCGGGGGAAGCTGGCATCGACGATGCCGTCAAAATGCTGTCTGTCTTCGCTATTGGTGGACTTGAAGCGGAACGCACGGCAGATGGCGAGCAAGCACTGGAGGCCGGCGAGGACGGAGGAGGTATTGTTGGTGTTGAGGAGCTCCGAGGTGAAGTTCATAAAGCTGGGCCACCGGTTGGGGAAATCGGCCTGGAGGACGCGCTGGATGACGGGGATGAGCTGTTGGCGGACGAGGGGTTCGGAGGTGGCGAGCAGAGGGACGAGGCGGTCTCGAATGCGATCCTTTTCCTCATCGGGTATCAATTTGCCGGCGGCGACGGGCTCGGTGGTGTACCATGATCGATTGACGCGGTTCTTGAGATAGATGATTGCTAGAGATGTGTGAGAAGAGGGTAGAATAGGCGAATCAAGGGCATGTCTGGCGAAACATACTGGATAGACGCACACTAGCATCTTGTTCCGCCTCGAGGATGTCGAGGAGGCAGACGAGGAAGCCGACCTCTTCTTCGATCTATGCGCAGTGAAATTAGTATGAATATCAGAGTATATTTATCGGGGGACGATGCCACGATTCACATGACTCGAAGTACAGCAGTCGCGCAGGTCTTTGGGCTCAAAACGGTCTGGTGGTGGACGATATGCAAAGGGGGCGCATCGTTGGGGCAAAAAGGCCAGCCAAAAAAACACAAGACGGTCAAGGGGACGGACAGATGGGATGGGGGGGATAGGGCAGTCCGGAGCGCGCATACCTGCTTGAGTTGAAGCTCAGCATGACGTCTGTTGTCCGCATCGGGAAGCAGACTCGCGGCGAGCAAGCCCCTGATGGCGGCAGTGTCCATGGCGACGTATCTGGGAGCGGGCTTGTGGTGATTTGGATGTTTTGGAGGAGGGCACTTTTGATGCTTTGCGTTGCGTTCCTTGGGGTGGTTAGAGGGGCGGGCTGGATGGTGGGCGGGAGAAGTGGGCCTTTTTTTTTCTCTGTGGTCGAGGGTTTTGGCGGGCAGAAAAAAAAAGAAGTTGCTTGGGTTTTAATGGTGGCGGGGCGTCGAGGGTCGAGGGGGGCAGGAGATGGACAGAGAGTAGGAGTCTATAAGAAGTTTTGGGATGATAGGAGTTGGCGTTGTAATACAGATGGCCGACGCCCATGAGGATGACAAGAAAGAGCAAATGCTGGATGAGAAGAGTGAGTGCGCGAGTGAAGCTGTCTGTCTCTGCTGGCACAGAGGCACAGATACGTGGAGGGGCTACGCTTGTTGTGGCGAAAAGGTACCCCTTCTCAGAAATAACCCGGGGCGGTACATACCTACCCTACCGACTATAGGTACCAGGTAGTACACACATGGGCAGGTACTGTACTTGCAAGGCGGTGGGCAGAACAGGTCCCCTAAAGGTCCCTGCCCCTCCAGTAAAGAGCCCCGCCAACCACTAAAACACGGCACTAAAAATGACACTGCTTGACAGCATCCTGGAGAAAACATTTCGTTGCGATTTTTTTATTTTTTTTTTGCACGGAATAGAGGAAAAGCAAAACTTCTATATCTCCGCTATATACGTGCTAACAAATAGACACCTGCCGAGCTCTACCCAGCTGCAACATCCTCTGAAACCACCACACCCCCGGCTCCAATCGCTGCCGACCTTGCCTCGTGGCCAGCGCAGGAAGCCGTTGGCCACCCAGCTGTGCAACAGACAATACATGCCGCCCGGGAACATTATGCGTGATGAACTGCGGAAGCACAAGACACTGCTGCCAATCACTCCATTCAAAGTCAATCACTTCTTGGCAACAAGGATGCTCACATCTCACATTCGATTGCATCCCAGGAACTGCTTGTGCGATGTAGGCTCCCGCCACAGCCACAAGCCCACATGTTCCCTTCCCACCATAATCACATACAAAATGTACATGGCCACCTTGGTAGGTAGGGCTAACTCACTGTGAGCTATTCGCTCGTAGCTTATGAGAGGTAGGTGGTAACCAGATAACCACACTTTCGCACCATTGTACAAAAGTGCTACTCAAAGAGCCAGTACTCGCATCCAAGTGGAACATCCGGGCAAGCCAACGCATCATGTCAGAGAAAGTAAACTGGTGGCGTTTGACCCCATGCCTCTTCTCATGCTGCACCCCGTCGTATTATTGGCGCCAACAAGCCTTGTTGTCAAAGACATCGAGTAAAGCGTCTCTTCCAGCGTGCCAGCCTTCATCGTTCTTATCCAAATCTTATCCAAATCTTATCCATAAAAGTGCACTTCTTCTCGGCCAAAAACGCATTTGACATCTTCAAGGCCACCCACCCCGATACCGCCAGCCTCGCCACAAACTGCAGCGTGACGTGCCTGGCAATTCTGCCTATTTTGATTGGCCTAGCTAGACCTCTGCAATAACCTTGGGCCCCTTCCTCACTGCAAAATCGACAAGTTGAACCATCGGGCGCTAATCGCCCACTATACAGTCGCTACCCTACAACTCATTGCAGCCAACGAGGTATCAGTAGCAACGTCCAAACTGTCTACCTATATAATTAGGTATGCCTTCCGATTCTTATAATTACTCGCTTTAAGTCTGGGGTTGAATAATATGGATTTGAAGTTATTCTTCTTCCTCTTTGATCCCTAGTTGCATCGTCACCTCTGTTGCTTCTGATCGTCCAGAATAGCATCTGCAGGTCAAGCCGAGGGCAGCCATCACGGTTGGCGGGCTTGTGTTGTAATTGATGAGTCGATACATACCTCAAGCTCAAGTCCGATTTGCCCTTGCTTTTCGTATTAGTTGTATGTGCACTGTATGAGTTATCATAGAGGCTATGTTGCGAAATTTACTCCGTGGCTATCCATCTTCAAAGGTCGGATGTGGTAGAATGAAGGTTGGAGTCACGGAAAACTATAAACGTTCTTCCTGGGATTTTTTTAGCGGAATTTTCATTATAGTAAAGACCAGCTCGCATAGTGCCCACAACGCCAAAAGCTGATGCCTGGACAGGTATGAGCCAGGTCACGGCGGCCTTGCCATGTACTGGCACGGCCCATTGTTGCCTGGATATCAAAGTGTGACAACTTTATGGCTTGGCCCTGTGTGCCAGGTGGTCTCTATTCACAAGAGTTTGGTGCAAACAACGAGTACTAGTCCGGCTCACCTCGCGAGGATGCGTGACCCTCGTGTCTGCTCGGCTGACCAGACACATAGCTTCAGAGTGATGCGAGCAGCTCCTCGCTGTCCGAGCCGGCATCACCTGTCCCATGAAGAAATGTAGTCAACTAGATCCATGAGTTTCATTTGCCTCTCAGCTTCCATTGCGCCGGTTGTGTGACATACATACTCGCCGGGCGACATCCGGGTGCGGTCCTTTGACTCCTTGGTCGGAACTGGTGTAGCGCTCGGCATCCCGGGCGTCGGTGTCTTGTTCCCATCGCCTTTGTAACACAGCTCAAAGGTCCGAGGCCTCCATAATAACGTAACGATTTTGACAGCGCCCGATGCCATGTCACGCCCGTCTCGCATTACACGAGCTTGCACTGCCTTTGCCACGTTCATCACCACTAGTCTACTTCTACAAAGTTCCAATATTTCTCCAGTCACGAATTCTGTGTATTCAAGTAATGCAAAAAAACAGCCCACAGAAAGCAAAGGTGCTGCGGTGGAAGATACATTCACATGCTTTTCGCCAAGACGTAGTTCCGCGTATCAGCGCCCGCTCTGCGGCCCCCCGTCCTACCGTCGGCAGCAGACCACGCCGATACCAAGTAGGCGCGCCAATCAACCTTATTTCTCAATTCATCATGTGAGGATCCTTCGAAAAAAGTCTTTGTCGCCCTGGCCGTGCTGAAATCTCTGCAACCCCTGGCCAGGAACAAGTGTTGTGTCATGAGACTGCGGAATAAAATCCGCGACCTACGAGAAGCGCCGCGGCGGAATACCCTGTTGAGATAGAGTTTGGACGGCGCCAGACGCTACGGGTTTTACAAGTACAATACAATGATGGACATGGTCATAGCAGCCGACAGCCGAGATGGGCGATGACGGCGCGCCGGCAAGCTCCGTTGTCGAGGCCCGCGAGATCCAGCTCGGAGAAGATGCTATACGACGCTGGTATTACGGCTCAATCAAGTCAAACTGTTTTCTATCATACGCGTGGTCTTATCAACAGTATGAGATGAAAGATGTAGCACCGAATCTAGAGATCGAGGCTGGTTCAAGATGGGGATAAGCCTCACGAGTGCTGTCATCGCGTGCAGCGATATCCGAGCCCACCCTCGGCTCCAATTTCAGATTCGGTCCTACTTGGAAATAAAGCCCTTTTCCCTCACCAGACCAAAAGAACCTCTGTCCAAGTCACGCCTCGGCCATGGAACTTTCCGCGTCTTGCGCCCGCAGCCAACAGCCACTAGCCAGCGATGGTCCGGCGATCTAAACCAGCTCAACGATCCAACGACGTGCAAGGACGTGCTCTCCACCAGGCACTAGGCAGAAACTCTACCTCGCCTCATTTCCGTCTTGTCCTTCGAGGGCAACAGGGCTTAGCTTCCCTTGTGCTTTCCGTCTCGGCCTCCCGTCCTCTCCCAACTGACTCGGCGTCTCCGAGAGCTGCGAGAAGCGGCCTGTACATGTCCCGAAGCAGAATAGAAGGCTCTTTAGACTGTTTCTATTTTCAGATGACAACGTTTAACAAGGTTGAGCGATAGCCGGATGGCGCATTTCCAGGCCGAACCCGCAAACCTCGGCGCTCGCTGTCAACGTCGGTCACATTTTTCATACTACAGAGTTTTTGATATCAAACTCTTCATAGACCCATGAATGCCCAATGCACCGTGAAGAATCTTTCCGTCTATAAGAGTACACCATTCCTCAGCCCAACTATCCAACTCTCTTCGTACTCATCTGCTTCTTCATCTTCATCTCCCAAACACACCAAAGACACACCACAACAGTATAACGCATACCTGACAAATACGAAACCATCCACAGCAGCAACAACAATAACCAGAGAAATATGGGCTTCATTTCTTACAGCGACGGCGTACTGGCTGCCGACGTGGAGCAAAAGAACCTACACAGTGCAATGTGCTGCCGTCCCAACAACCATACCACCACCGGCGCCGAGTTCACGCCTAATCAATACAACACTCCTCCTCCATCCTACGAGTCCATCTGCCCTCCGCCTTCATACGACTCTCTGTCTCCTCCTCCACCCTCATACGACTCTCTGCCTCCCCCGCCGCCAGCCTACGAGCTTCTGCCCCCGCCTCCTCCCTATGACTCTCTACCCCCGCCTCCTCCTCCATACTCTGTCCGTGCCAGCTCCAACAGGACCTGCACGACCTGCTCCTCGTCACGACCTACCCTACCTCCGGTCAGCACGCTCCTATCCTCCATCGACGCTGCGCCGTCGTCCTATTCCACCCCGCCACCCTACACGCCAGTCCCCGTCACGACCACGGCGCCGCGCTTCCCCGTCTTCCACGCGCGCTACCACGGCACGAGCAACTATGAAAACTCCTGTCGGGACCGCCACAAGCTCTTTATCCTCACAAACGCCGACGCTGCGAATCCCCGGGCGCGCGGCATCTACCTCGCCGTCACAGGCAACCGACGCCGCGGCCTGCGTGTCCGTGAAACGCTCGGAGACGTGCCGGAGAACACGAGAGGGCTGCGCGAGAGCATCTTGCTGGGCAGTATAGTAGCTGAAGACATCGACGCGCTGGGAAACATATGCCACCATGTGCAGTTGGACAGGTTTCCGGTGTTGGCCGGGCGCAGTGCGTCACGGAGAAAGCCTCTCCCGAAGAGCAAGTCGTGTCGATTTCTTGTATACACAGTTGAAGCCCCGCCTCCTCCTTATAGCGATGGTCATGTTGCAGAGCTACTGGCCTCACCCTCACAAGAATGGGCGGCGGTAGTCATCGCGCTGGCGCACTCTCGGAACCTTTTGCTGTCGAATTAGAACTTGGGGTGATTCTTTCATGAGTAATAGAGTTGTATTTATAAGGTAGTTCAAGATGGTTGGTAATATGGGGGAGAGATTCAATTAAAACATATTCATGTCAATGATAATACATATAAAGGATATCCAAATCTTTTCTGTAAACCAGGTACGCCAGGCAAATCCTCGAGAATAGTTACAGACAGTCGTTGGTGTATGGTCAGAGATTGTATAACAGAGCGGTGATAAAGTCTTTCTTGAGATTGATCGAGTCGGGAGGGGGATGTGATATGAGGGGCAAATATACACGTTGGCTGTGTTTGCATGACCATGTGGTTGCTTCCACAATAGAGATTGAAGAGAAGAAATGATCCATACTTTTGAAGGCTCGGCTGGTCACAAGTACAATGCAGCACAAGTATTGTTCGCATCAAGAATGACCTCAAAGGATTGTGTCCAAGTCCGGATGATCCAGGAAAAAGGCGCTTGACAATGATACTCGACATCCAGACTTCAAGCGCATTGTGGCATCAAAGAGGAGCTAGATGAATCAGTGCAACAAGTCACAACCAGAGCACCCCAGCCGTGTCAACAAAGTAGCACAATTCCATATAAACGTCTGGGGAATATATACAAACCGGCGACGCGTACCCTGATGTCCGGATCTGGGCATACAAGAGAAAAGACGCAACTCTTTCCCGTGGAGTGGTAGAGGACCAGCCAAAACGCCGATTGGCAGCTCTGGCTAGCCAAAGCGCAGCCGGACAACGGGGACGCATCGTCGAACCAAAATCAACATGTACCAAAAGAACCAGCCTTTTCCAAAACGCCGATTGTGACAGATGAAAACATGATATAAAGCCAATCATTAATCAACTTCAGATTATCATCCAGATGACAGGGCAATAAGTCCAGAGCCAGGGCTGGCAAAAATAATCCAGGTTGATGGCAAAATCCAAAGAGGTATATCCGGCATTGGTAACATTATCCATGAGTGGAACAGGCCAAAAGCACAAATAAATCGCAAGCATTGTCCATGGAATAGTCCAGAGCGGGTGTCCGTGGCAAGAGTCCGTATAGGGAGATTATATGTACGCAGAGGGTATTCCGGTTTATAGTCCATTGCGGGTCGTTGATGATGACATGAAAGAAAAAGAGACAGCTCGGGCTGTAGCATCCAAGGGACGTCTTCACAGTATTGGAAGCTGTGTTAGCCATGACTGGCGAGAAGCGGTGAGACTTGTCTAGCGGCGGGGAGGAGGGGGCCGGTGGTGTCTCTCAACAGAGTTCCTGTCGCTGTCCTGGTCACTACGACGCTTGTTTGTGCCGGAAGGCGGTTTGGGGCTGGAAGGGGGCGCGGAGCCTCGGGCGAGGGGGGTTTCTTCATACTGTTGTGGTTGTTGTTGCGGCTGCTGCTGTCCTTGGGCTCCATAAGGTGGCGGAGGGCCTGCGGGCGAGGCTAGAGTAGGTCAGAAGACAAGTTCAGATGGCACGCAGCTAATCGCCGTTGGTACGCGACTGACCTCTGCCGTAGAATGGATCCTGCGGCTGAATAGAGGAAGAATACTGCTGGTTGCTTCCTGGATGAGGACCCTGGTTTGAATACTGGAATGGAGCGCCCGGGGGTTGGGAATAGCCTTGCTGGGGAGGACCAGAAGTGGAATACATGGGCTGCTGGGGTCCAGGTCCAGAGGAACCCCCGCGAGGTCCGGGAAATCCATCGTTGGGAGGGTAGCGCGGTGCCATGTTCGCACCGGTATTCACATATGGAACTTCTTGGGCTTGAAATCCAGGGTTCATCAAGCCGGGTTGGTTGACAGGGCTGGCATATCTGGGATCGGGATTCCCGGCAGGAGGTCCTTGTTGGTAGTTGCCATAGCTGGGACCAGTGGTAGCAGGGGCATAGGTTTGCTGCTGGGGAAAGTTGCCAGTGGCACCAGTGTAGCCTGGAGCGCCCGATCCCGGATATCTAGCGGTGTCAAAGGATTCACGGGAATTGAAGTGGTCCTGCTGCTGCTGCTGTTGCTGCTGCTGAAAGGGAGGGTGCTCAGTAGGGCCAAGATGCTGACGCGACTGGTGCGTCTCGGAGTATCGATATTGCACTACATGTGAGTTAGAAGACGGAGCCCCAGCATAGTTTGGGCCATCTCGCGAGCCGTGGATACCTCCATGGGCACTGCGCGATGTTTGGGAGCGGCGTTCGCTGTCCCAACGCGCAGAGTCTGCTTTGAGGTCTTCAATCATTGCCTGACACGGGTTTAGCAAGCGAATTTGGGGGTGGGAGAGCGGAGGAGGCTCACAGTCGTCAGGTTCCGGTAGGCGGTGATGTAGTAGCCCTGAACGGTCTGTCCAGTCTGTGGGTTCTGGACGGCGTTAGCATATTTGATCAATGGTCTGGACACAGTTGGATTCCAAGAGCGCACCTCATAGTGACCGGGCCGCACCAGGGCATCGTTACCCAGGTAGCGGCAAATGTCGGCGGAGATGACTTCGCGATCGATGCCGTCGCGAGGGACAAAGTATTCGTTCATGCGAGTGCTGGAAGCAGCCGGTGCAGGCGGAGCGTTGCGGGGTTGTCGTGACATGGCGAGGATGGACTGTTATTGTGTATGAAAGGTAACAGAGGGAGGAAGAAGGCGGGAGGTGAGGGTAAAGGGCGTGGGACCGTCTAATATGCAGCGAGATGGAAAGCAGCGACAGGGGGGACCGAGGGGGGCGAAAAAGGTCGAGCTGGGCCTGGCGGGTCAAGGCGAGTGGCAAGATAGGCCGGGTGCAAAAGGGCAAGACTGGGCGGTGATCGTTCTAATAAGCCAGGCCTGTAGGTAGAGATTTCGTGCGTGTCAGTTGCAAGGTGTCACAGGAAGCGGGCAACGCGAGAGGGCGAGCAAGGAGCAGGGGGTGAAGAGGGAGAGGCAGGGGAGGGGGGAGGGGGGGCTGACCTGGCTGGCGGGCTTTTTTTCCTTGATGTGAAAGCTGGAAAGAGAGGGCTGGGCTGCAAGTTGCGAGTTGGGCGTTTGGGTTGGGTGCCAAAGGCAGAGTCGGATGATGGCTAGAGGCACAGAGGGTGGTGCAAAGGAGGTGTGTGTGTGTGTGTGTGTGCGAGAGGAGCGAGAGGAGCGAGAGGAGCGAGAGGAGACGAGGGTCGGCAGTCCGTCCGTTGGCGAGGGGTGGGTGCGGCACGAGATGGTTTGGGCAGCATTATTAGCCTGGCATGGAGGGACGAGTCGCGATGTTTGACTGGTGCGAAAGAAAGGAAAGCGGGCGGTGATGCTTGGTGGGGCTGCGTGAGAAGCGGGTAGAAGCAAAGAAGAGAATGCTGCTGGCCGTGATTCAGCCGGCGTGTTCTGCGCCGGATAAAAATCACGTCAAGAACAAATAACTAGTTAAGTGAATGTGTCCTGCCCTATGGAAATTGTCAGTATTTTAGACATCTTATTCACAGTGTCGGTCGACCCAAAACAGGCACAGCACAGCACAGCATTTCCGTCCCGTCCATCCCATCCTGTGATCCATCCCACCAAAACGGAGCACGGAAAAAGCAAGCAATAACCAGTACCCAGTAAATAAATACGTTTCATCTACAGCAGCAGGGAACTTCCTCCGCTAGTTACTAGGTAGTTAGTTAGTTATCGATTGGTGGGCTGGGATCCCATCGACACTCTGCAGTCTCTGCTCAGCTCAACAGCTTGGGACGGACCAGGTTGATTTGCTGGCCTTGCCAGGACCACCGCTCTCTGCCAGGCTCACTATATTCCTGCCAATCACCGCTGGGCTAGTTCGTTGAGGCGTTGCGCTCTTCACCGGGCATCCATATCCATACAAATGGCGGCCCAAGCATCATCCCCCGCCCGTCTCAATACCGGTAAACGTCCCCGACGTCTCTCGCAAAACCCCATCAACCATCAAACGGCTCGTCAATGCGAAATACAACCAAAACGACGAATTCCCTGTTTCGCGATAGTTACTGATCCATCTGCGGAACCTAACAAGACCCCCATGACCCCTTCCTTGCCTCTCCATCACCCAAGCCTTCCACTCTCGACACCGACACGGCCAAACTGTCGACAAGTGGGTGGACCTTCTGTAGTTACCATGTGTGGCTGTTGAGCTGGGTCCTTGCTGCAGGTCGTCGTGTCTGCCATGCACCCATCAATCAAGCACGACGTGTGTGCACATGTATGTACTAGATTCCGGTCTTTCTGGCTGGCTGGTTTGTTGGTGGGGAGATAATTTTTTGCATCTGCCTCAACCTCCTCTTCTGTTGCGTTTCTGCAAGGCAGTTTGCGGCTGGTCCGCGCACCACACCATGGCGCTGCATTTTGTTCAACGCTCTCATCTCATCCTGGAATCCTGGGACGCACGCCCATGCACTACTAAAGTCAACTGCGCCAAACGCTTTACGATCGGCTTGCATTGTGCGTCAACGACTCTTTCTTTTGTCCCGCACCAGGCGCTGCGACTGGCCGCGCCGCGCTGCGTGCAACCAGTGTCATCGTCCCGGCCCGTCTGCGCCGTTTCGCCCCTCGTGCAGCCTAATCTTTGTGCGACCTGAATAGGGCTTTGGCACGCCAAATCAACCAGTTCCAAAATCCTCGGCATCATGCGGGCATCACGTCGTAGCGACAGGTAGGCCGGTGATGCAGCGTAGCGCATGTCTCGTCCCTGCCAATCACGACGTCAGAGGCTCGCCAGCTGCTAGCTTCGGCCTCTTGCTACCACCAGAGACAAGAAAGCATTGTGCGAGAACGGGTGCCTGGTTCCCGCTCGCGCCGCCGGTGGGCTGCCGCTTCTTAGTTGGGTATCAACGCCGTCGACCCAATTGCCACCCAACCCAACCACGGGGCCTGTCCGCTAGTCCCCCGATGTCTTCGCGCCGCTGACCCACACCAGGGCGATAACGTTGGACGCCCAGATTCTTGACGCCTTGGTCACAAGAGTATATATGTCGACGGCTCATTGCGAGAAACTTGGACTTGGCTGCCATGGGGATTTGATCGATAACTTGAGCATCAAAAGAAATACGTCGCATGAGCTAAACCACGCCGTTTCCACCACGAGAATAACGTCATTCATTCACCCCCACGTTACGTTACCCCAGTCGCCCGTGACTCGAAAGGCTAGAATGCAAGCCCAATCCAATCGGTCCGGGGTTCTCTCTTTTTTCCTTTTTCCTTTTTTGACGGATTGGCGGTAGTCACTGGCAATGATCGATTACCCAAACTTTAGCTTACTTTGGCCCTGCTCCAGCTTGTTGCTTCCGCCTCCCCGGCCTCCGCGTCGTGAGGAAGACGACCCGCCGGAACCCTTGTTGCTTGTGCCACGCACTGATGCTGCATTCCGTGATCGTTGTTCGGCGAATGTTGACTTGACACGTTCCTCATCCTGTATGTCCTTGGCCATATGCCAGTCCATGTGGCTTTGTAGTGCTTCCGGCGTCTCGAATGAGGCGTGACAGCGAGCACACCGCAAACCAACTTGCTGGGGCTCGCTGTATTGAATACGTATGCCTGCGCTGGCTTCTGCATCCGCATCTGCATCCGAGTTGTGATGACCATGGTTGTTCTCCACGCTGTCACCGTCGTGTCCCCGGACATGGGCCGCTGTAGCATCTGCGTCCGCACTAGGCGTCCTCTCTGGCTGGTCTTTGGCGAAGAATCGTTGTATTCCTAGCACTTCTGCACGGGCTCGTTTATGCGGCCGTTCTGGAGGCATGGGCGCGTTGTTGCCGTGGTCAGCAACTTTGAGGGACATGGCAGCATCACCCTTGACCAGGAAGGCTCCGATGCCCATGTTGTTTTTTATGCCGTCCTCAAACCCACCGACGGTGAGGCTGAGGTTGTTGCATGGCCATATGCTACCGTCGCCTAGAATCTGCAAGAGCAAGTCTCTGGCCAAGCCTATGAGCATGGCTTCGTCAATCGGCTTGCCCTGGGGTATGGGTATCTGCCGGCTTCGTGTCTGCACCATATGCCGAGCGCTCAGATGTATAGTTTTCGGTCGACGCTTATTCTCCAGCACGCCTTCCTCCACGAGCCTGTTGAAGATGTCTCCCGCAAAGATGCGGAGCCATTTAATGGCCTGATCTTGTGTATTGATGTATGGTCTGAACGATTTGGCAGATAGCATAGACTTGATTTGGGTTCTCGGGTTGACTTCGCTTGTATCAACTCCGCGTATCGTGTTGTAAAGCCAGATGCCAGTCTCGTCGCCGAGCTTGGCCTTGAGCTGCTCGACCGGCACGGGTAGCAGATCCTTGACTTGCTCGGTCTCAAAGATGCTGACCACTTGCTCTCCTAGCTTGCCGCCCAGATTCCGAATCTTGGTCAGCTTGAAGTCTTGCAGAAATACGGCCACTGCTCGGTTTCGCACGACCGTCTGACGATTCGGCTTTTTGTAGCCGGACCCGAGCTTGCTCAGAAGCTTGTTGCACGCCACACCCGCCGAGCACGTATACCGCAACTTCTCGCGGATCTCGGATCTCAGGTCACGCACGATTTCTGAACCGACCAGAATCGCTACATCATCCCAGTCAGGGTCCTCGCCCTCACGGTCCTCATCCAAGTCAACGAGCGCATCCGCTTTCCAGTCCAACGCTGATACAGAGGGCATCGGGAGCCGCTCTGATGGGTCATTGTACGGTGGCGGCTGCTGGAGCTCGGGAAACCGGTCGAGAAGAATGGAGTGTACCTGGGCCGACAGATCCAGGAAAACCTCGTCGATACTGGCCTTTTCCACCCGCTGGAGGTTCTGCGGAAGGTGATCGTGGACGAGGGCCAGAATTCTGCGCGATTCGAGCCGGTACGGGTCGAGTGAAACCTTGTCTGTGGCCATGTTTGCGGCAGCATCGTCGCGATACGCCCACTTGTCGTCGCCCTCGCGCCAAGTCGCGACGTGCTGCGCGATAAGATTTGGGCACGCTTTTTTGGCGTCCAAGACTGAGCCCAGACGACCGCCCATTCCACTTCTGCGCGCTGGGTAGTTGATCGCAATCAGCGACTGCCTTGGGTGGAATTAGCGACGTGACAGGGTGCAGTGGGCTATGATGGAAAACTCACCACTGTTGAACAGCCAGAGGTTGATCGTCTGGCAAACCCAACCGGACCATCTCACACTGTGCGTAAAACGCGTCCAGATCAACGTGTGCAATGACACGTAGCGGACTAGATGCAACAAAGCTTGCCATTTGCGAAAGGTGGCGATGGGTAAATTGGGAGCGCGTGCCATCGGTGTGCTGATCTGCCGACGATAGCGGCGCGTAATTCCCAGGCGATGAGGGCATATCGGGTAATATCGATATTTTCCACCAAAGTATGAGCAACCGCAATCAATGCGAGGTTTGCTGGCGACTGGAAAGATGGCGGCAAGCTGTTGGGTTGACTGTTGTTTGCATCACGCTGCATTGGGCGCAAAACATGCAGTTTCCGCCTTTTTTCAACCACGAGAAGTTCAGGACATTGCCGTCTCACCAGTATATCGTTTCAGTTATGCAGGTTGTTACCTATTGTCCAACATGGAGACCGGGCAACAGTGTTGACGAAGGCAAGATTCCACGATGCGCCAGGGACGTCATTTTGAGAAAGGCCCCACATCGATGTAAAAGCTATGATTAGGACAACTTCCAAACTGCACGAAGCAACGCCTACAAAATAATCGGTAAAATCCTATTGAATCATTATTTCGTATGCTTTGTGGCTAATGGAGTCAGTATGCCACTCGAGGCCCAATAAGTTGAGAAAGAAAGAAGGCGCCAATGTTGTACAGTGCCCACTACTACTTTTCTCGACCTTCCACCCTCCAAACACAATCTGCTATATGTATGTATGCCGCCCATACACGCCGATAATCGATCAAATGCTTCTTTCATTCTTGTTTGATGGATGTTGACCTTTCACAACGCTTTCAATCTACGGTAGATTCCCCGCCCGACTTTCAGCTTTTCGGTTCACGACTCGATCGCTCGGATACCTCGGCGGTCGCTTCCTCGAAATCACGAAGGTCTTGAATAGCGACAGCTAGTCGATGCTGAAGCATGGTCATTTGGGAATGGAGCTGGTTGATGCTGGACTGCCAGTACGCCATGTCGTGGTGGCGCTTCCCTGGGTCCACCTCGTACGCTTGAATGTAGGAAAGCTGATGGTAATGGTGTCGAATGCTATCCTCGGTGAGGTGAACGCTGTGAGTGGCCTCTTCAATTTCCATTTGGAGGCGCTGACGTAGCTTAGAGCCGCGCCGCAGATCGGCCATGCGCTCTGCTGGAACTTTGCCGGACATGTTTGCTTTCAAAAGCACGCGTCTTGTGTCCTTGACAGTCAAGAGATTTTGGACAAGGTGCAAGTTGAGGCTGGTAACCGCTGTGCTGTAAAAATGGCAAAGCCAGCGGCTACAAAGGCGGGCGGTCGTCCTTTATTCAATCGCAGAGGTGTTGATACTAGCCGAAACTTTGCAAAGACGAAGAAATAAGTTTGATTTGCTTTGCTCATGCAGCGCACTCGGTAAACTCTGCGTGGCGTAGTGTCGAGTCCAGGCCATGGGGGCGCTCTCGGCTCTCAACGGCTGTCACGGAATGCTACAAAAAGCAATAACCTATCAACCTATCAGCATCTGCCTAGTCCTCGCCTAAAGACTGTCTGTCTCTTACTCACAAGATATTGGCTTCCTTTCCCCCGTTCTCCGGTCGAGAACGCAAGGGCGTGCGGCGGACTACACTAGCATCGACAATCGGGGGTAGCTTTGCCACTGGTTTGGACACTTGGTAGGTTCAATTTTGGCTGCCAGTTACCAACGCAAAGAAAGGTAGGTAGTAGGCCAAGGATAGTAGATCGCGTTGCAAGCGAAAGGTGCAGTTGATGAGTGCTAAACAAGAGAAGGGAATCAAGGCAGAAAATCAGGACAAGAAACGTTTCTGGCCCAACAGAAGTACAACCTTTTGGCTCACAGAAGGGAAGGGAGCAGGCGACAGGTGGTGGTTTATTACAAACGAGAAGACAATAATCTGCATGGACGTGGAGTGCGACAAGGAGGCGAGGGAGTGAGGGGCTGCTAATAAAGCGCCGTTGCGCGTGGTCAACCCTCAACCCTTCGGGGCAAGGCGCATCGGACTTGGCTCCAAGAATTGCTGCTTCACGTCTGGTTGGTGGTTGATGGGGTTGAAGGGGGGGGTTGATGGGTGTCAGACGTGTCAGACCACGTACACATGTATTAACGACATTAACGACACCCCTGTTCACGGCGAGTGGTGCCGAATCAACTCGAGCAGCACATCTTGTGCGATTGTGATATTCCCTAATAAAGCTTTGTGACTTGATTTGCGCTTCTGCGGCGGATAACCATCGGTAATAGCGACGCAACGTGGGAGACGACCGATGTGCCCATTCTTCAACCTAGACAACTGGCAATGTGGTCTCTTCTCCCTTATCATCTGCAAGCCTTCCCCCTCCTCCTCTCAAGACCTGCAGCAGCCGGGTTGATTCATTGCGCCGAACCCTACTATGGGATCGGGCAGGTGCGCGGTTTGGATCCTTCGCAGGGCCTTTTAACCCCTCACACGCTCGCGTCAAATTGCAAGAGGATGTCTCCAGGCCAGGCACTTCAGCTGGTGTGTTGTCCGTCCTTTTTTGCTCGACCGTCACTACGCGAAGGCGGGTTACACAACATGAAGAAAATTATGACACCATCAACCATGTACCCTCGAGCGCCCGCAGCGACCGTATGACGGCCGATGGGCAAGGGTCCTGATCGATTTTTGCTATCATTGACGTCTTCTACTACTGAGGGTAAATAAATATCGTAGAACCTATTTGCCACCCATACCACGTTTTAGTGCTACTGTTGCCCGCCCTTTTCTAAACAGAATGGCGGGGATGTGAGATAGCCAGTCACGAGGCGAACACTCTACGGTTTGCCCTCGCTGCAGTACAATAGAAATCGGATATTTTCTTTAGGTATTGAACATTCGTTCCAAGCCAAGATGGCGGTAACTAGTGAGTGTACCCCTGACGACTTGGGCATGGCAACGTACCCTGCACTTGACTCTTTGCTGCTATCATGGCGATGTGCAGTAATACAGAAGCATGTGTTAGTACCCGGATTTCTTGTCAGTAACTCGCCCTGTAATATATCTTCCAGTTTGTAATTTCTTGTGTTGATCCATCGCGGAATATTTCCAGGAGTGAGCCGAGTACGCGTATCGTTAATCATGGTGATTTGATTGATGAAGAGGCGCGCACAGATTATGACCGCTTTAGATTCTAGATGATCAATCGCACAGTAAGGGATTCACATCCTCGAAGAGTCATCAAACATGGCCAGTCATATCGCCACCTAGTACAAGTCCATGCACATGAGTTATGCAGCCGCCACATGTGAATGCGCCTTGAAATAAATAGAATCAGTACTATAAACTGAGATCGTCCAGGCTATACGTAGTGATAGACAAGAAGATGGGGTGATTTCGACGGATGTGGAAAGGAAGGTGTTCAAGTCCTGCAGGGAAACAACAAGTGTAGACTTGTCAACCATATGGAACCAAATAGAACGCGGACAGGGCACACCACTGGACCACCGCAGGAACAATAAGTATCTAGAACAAAACGAAGAGGGCTAGAGACTGTAGTCTAGAATACCGTAATCCCAAGACGATGTGGATGCCCGGCTCAGAGAGATGGCTGACATAGACACATCTTGGACAGAAATTGGCGAAGCAGCTTGGAAATACAACTTGGATGGCTGTATTCTGAGGTCTGTTGGGGAGAGAATATTTAGAACGAAGAGCTACGAGACATCTTTTTTTTCTCCTTTCTCCTTTTTCTTTTTTTCTTCTTCTTTTTGCTTTTCCATGAGATCAAACTAGCCACGATTCACCAGGTAAGGTAAACGCTAAGATACATCAAATATAGGTTTTGCTTTGGCTGAACTTGGATCTTCTCATGATTTGGGACATGAACTAGTCTAACCCGAGCAAAAAATGAGGAATAAGGATGCAATGTAGCCACAGTTGGAAAGGTTCATGTTGCAAGTCTTGATATGATGAACACAGTTACACGAGATGGAGGCTCAACAGAAGGCAGATTTTCGGCTACAAACCTAAGAGCAAATAGCTCCCTCGGCCTCCACAAATTGGTCCCCTGTGGCTCAGATGGCTAGAGCGTTGTAAGTATCCGTAGATGCATCTCAGATGGGTTCCACCTCGACATACTAATTCATCATCAGGGACTGTTAATCCAAAGGTCGGAAGTTCGAGCCTTCCCGGGGGAGACCCCTTTCACTTTTGTTCTTCAGGTGACTCTACATTACCTAATGTTTTTTTTTATCCATTGACTCGGAAGGTGGGCTCTCGGGCGCTCGGGTTGAGCGGTATCCGACAGGCCCTCTGGCATGAGGCTGTCCGTGTCTTAGCGGTCATGGCAAACCCGATCCGATCTAGCAAGCAAACGTACTGTCCTGCGGACTGAATGCCCTGGCCTTTGTTTGAAAGCTCCCGCTAGAGATCATTCGAATCCTCACTAGCGGCCCGATTCTTCCTCTTCGACGAGTTGGGTGGATAAAGGACCAGGCGAGACATGTAATACGGTAAATACCAGTTACGGTGACTGACTGTGTACAAGGCTTACAGCTTTACAAGCAGGGCGAAACAATAGTGCAACGTCAGCTCTTCACTAAAGTCCAATGGTACCACCCGACACAAGGTGGCGGCGGAGTTTTTGTGTAACCACTGAGATTCATGCCTTGGCATACATTAAATGGAATACTTTGTTTCAAACATGCTTGAAATTGGGCAAGGCTATATGATGACCATGGATGAAGAGAATAACGGTGTCGGGGTCGGGGCAACCGCCAAACTCAACGTGACGGAAGCAAAGAACGGAGCAAAGAACGGAGACTTGATTTTAGGAAGAAATATTTTTAACTAAAATGCCTATCGAAACATATGGTTACAGAGACGTATGGCTAAGCAGAGGTACATGTACACGCCAGATTCGGCCCCCAAGAGCGGCAGGCAACCACGTATCCGACTGCCAACGAGCCGAGACCTGCGCTCTGCCGGCCCAAAGTAAAAACACAGTCTGGAAAGTGTTAGACATGAGGACAAACGACCCAGACAATGCATTATCGCACCAGGGGAATTGGTTCCCAGAATTATATTCGAGTCCGGCCGGCGGGACCAACAAGGACTTACACTGCATTCGACAGAAATGGTCGCTCGGCTCTAATTTGACGACTTTGCTTCACCCGTCAGCATACTCAAGTCCAGAAATAGTTAGTAGACCACGTTCTCATACCAAAGCAGGTTACTTTCGAACCTTGCCCCAGGCGACCACGACGTCGCCCGCGTCGGCGTCAATCGGCCCAACACCAAGAGGACTCGCACCCACGGCAGCGATTGCTGCAACAAGGGCAACGTAGATGTAGACAAAAGAGTTCATGTTGATCGAGTAGTGGTGAATTTGGCTGGGATGGGTAGAAAATGTAGTTGCGTCTGAGTTGAAAGAACCAAGAATCCCAATGATGCCTTGCTCTGCTTTTTATACCTGCTTGTCCGTCACCCTCCAGTCTGGAGCACCTTGCATTGTTTTCTCGGAGCAGCTTCTGATTTCTCAACGCAGTCATACAGCTCCAAAGTACCAGGCTATGAGAGAACTATCGAGAGATGCCGCCTTGTGCGACCTGAGGTCTTGGCTGATTAGTCGGACCGCGTCTCCAAACCAACTGCAGGAGCCGCGACCAATTACCATCTCGGGAAGTGGACTTCGTTTACTGAATCAAAGAAATTCCTCTACTTGGATGACCTAAGAACCTGCCTATTTTGTTCTTGCCACCATGCAAGTCATCACAACCTGTAGCGAGCAGGTTCAGCCTGACCGCGCAATCTCGGACGCGCCCATACCTGCTGGGTCGTGAGTCGGCCCAACAAATTAGGCAGCTGAATAGTTGAGATGTGGTGTCCTCGCGCCTGAAGACAGGATTGTCCCCGAAGGCTTGCAGGTATGATATCACAGACATGGAGATCGGTTGCTGGCTGCGACAAGGCGTATTACATGCCGCAAGGCTAGCCATGCATGATGATGGTGTAGGGTTGCAAGACTGAATAGGCAAGGGCCCTTTTTTTCTCTGTAAAATAGAAAAGACCGTTTCTATCAGGCCTTTAATCCCGTTGGGCCACTGCAAATTAACATGCCGACGACTAAAACTGGTAAAAGGTCAAAGGACTACGACGATGAGGGGGATGATGGACCGCTATTGGCCGGCTGGGAACTGCCGATTTCCAAAAATAGAGCCGCCACGACGCTGGAGACAAAAGCATTGGGCGTGTCCATCTTACTCAATGTTTTTCTTGCCGTATTGCTTGTTTTTGCCGTTTGGCTCCTGCTCTCCCAGCGCTTACAGTACGGTCGGTCAACGGATTTCGACTTCAACAGTACGTTGCTCACATGCCACAGGTTGGCAGCTAACTACAGTTCTGCGCTGACATCTGCAAAAGCACCAGCATACGAAGCTATTGAGTATGTACCTCGCGTGTTTACCAAAGCTTTTCTCGACGATCAAAGCCCTTACCAAGGATGGCCGGATGACGAGAAGGATCAGCTCTGGCAGAACATGTATAGCAGTACGTATAGATGCCATGCAGCGCCCTCCCACGTCGAGATAAGTTTACTAATCCAATAGTACAGAAGGAATGACTATTCGGATCGATGCAGAGGCTGCGGACAGACTTGTGAACAAAACAGAGCACGCCCCCGTAGCTGGTTTCGAGAAAGACTACGTCGTTGGCCTCGACGTTTTCCACCAGCTACATTGCCTTGTCGGTCGTCTTGAGCCAGGATACATTGCTAGAAGCTAAAATATTTTAGAATATGATTCGGCGTTCCATGTACCCCAAGCGCTACAACTCGTCCATCATCCGTGAGGACGGGTCGATTGACTTTCTGACTTGGGCGCACCTAGGTAGGTCATGAAGGGTCACATTCCAAAATGCAGGACCAAGATCACGTCTACTAATACTTTTTGATTTCTAGACCACTGCGTTGAAATGCTTCGCGAGTCACTTACCTGCTCCGCCGACGTCAGCGTGATCCCGTACAGGTGGCACCGCGAGACGAACATCGCTGAGCCGGATATACGAAGCGTGCACATGTGCCGCAACTTTACAAAGATTCGAGATTGGGCATTCGAGCGCTTTCTTTCCCTGACAAGCAAGAGAATACACGTTGAAAATGGCACCGTCGTGGACTATGCCGGTGCTGGGAGAGACCCGGAAGAGGTGCTGGCGGAGAAACTGGCCAATCCCGAGAACTGGAACAAGACTGTGAAAGATTTGTGAGATAGAGAGTGGAAGTACGGAGGTGAGAGTTGCGAGGGTTGAGAAAAGGTCATTCAATTTGTCATGTCACTGCTCCTCTGGAGTATGTAGATTCGAGACTGCGGAGAGCCGTTCAGCCCGGCCTGACGTGTGCCCGTCATCTCCAACCATCGATGGCGAGACACTTGCCGGCGAAAATTCCCGAAAGCCAAACGTGGCGAACTCAATACTAGCTATCTGTACAGATTCAGGAGTAAATACTTTGTACAAATTATACAAATGTTTGTCCTCGTCGGCGCATGGGCTACCTTGCATGCGACCGACCGGTGTGCAGGCATCTGGTGCATGGGCCATTGTGTGGCTGACCACTGTAGTGATTTGTTTGTCTTACAAGAAAGCGCATGATCTGACCCAGGAGTTTGGGACCTGACAGCCTCTGAACGAAAAAAAAAACAAAAGTGTCAGACATCGGACGAAGCGACGTGTGTGGATTTCCTCGAGATGGCGAGAAGGTACTCCGGGCCCTTGGCGCGCGAATGGCTCATCAAGCCCAGCCGGACAAGAACTATCAAGCTTAGCAGATGTTGCCATTTTTGGAGACACTGTCTCAGACTGTGGGAGAGTCTATCGACGAGCGAACTGGGTCAGTGGCGTACTGGGGTCACTGGAACGACGGGGTTTGTGGTTTGACCAGACGGCGGCGGCGGCTTGCATTCAGCCTCGCAGGCGGACCGGTCCGCGTTGCAACTTAAAAGGCGCATTGGGCTTTGGGCAGAGATGCAAATGCTCGGTGGACAGTGCGAGTAGCTGACAAGAGAGAGGCTTTCTCGATGACGACACTCGTCCGTGTATATCAGAAGAAGGGGCTCCAAGTACAGAATAGTAGATCTGTATCCATCACGGATAGGGTGAACGGTATCAGAAAAGCAGTAAAAGGACAAGAATTAGACTAAAATCGGGATTATATATGACGTGACGAAACACCAAGCTCTCCAGGTATCCCGTGACCGCATATCGTTGGGCCTTGTCGCATTATACCATCCAAGACGCCGCGACGCCCACGAACTATTGCTTGCATGCCATCTTCTCTCATGATCAGCGCAGCCATCTGACATGTCACTTGGTACCATGCAAGTAAGGCAACCGGCTTCCATCGCACACGGGAGGCCGCTTCGCTCGTTCCCGCGCTCCGTTTCCAACAGCCGGCTCGGGGTGGCCGGACGAGCCTCCCTTCCTGCCCAGACTCTTGAACACGGACCAAGGGAAGAAAGGCCCGATGAGGTCACCGTACAGCCGTCTTGTGTACTCATCCTGGTCCCTTTCTAGAATGATCGAGTTTCGTCTCAGCTGGCCGCGTTGCTTTCCCCCGGCAGACGGGCAGCCGCGTGTTCTCCTCGGCTTGCAAGCCACCTTGACTAGTTATTGCCCAGCTATGGGAGGAGGGGGGCCAAGATGGTGAAGAGAAAAATACACCTTGCAGGAAAGCAGACTGTTCACCGAGATGGATCGATTGCTAGTTTGTTGTCTCTCGCAGCGAGGCGCTGTCCGGTTGGGGCATTGGATCGGCGCCGCCAATGGTACATACTGATGGACGACAACATTGTGCGCTGAAGGAGGGGGGGGGGCAAGAGAGTTCACCTCTCTGTACGGACAGGGCTGTCGAGTTTGTGTGCTGCGACTTTGTCAGCCGTTGTGCGACGTGACACTTTTCCCTCGTAGAACCAGGCCTGGTGTTCACTCAAAGGGGTTTCGGCGGATGGTATGACTCTGGAGGACTCGCTTTACTCTGGAAATTGACGCAAAGAAAAGGATGGAATGTAAAACTGTTTCTCCTCATCGTCATCGGGCTCTGATCCCTCAAAAGGCCCCCAATCTTGCAGCCATGGCCAGGGGGGGAGCCCCAATGTGCCCTGATCCTGGAGTGGCCGTGTAAGCCATTGGGCCCCCCAGAGCAAAGGGAAGCCGCATCTGCGCTTGTGGGGACCGAATATCACCGTACTGTACTGGCTGGGATGCCGACTGCGAATTGGGGGTCGTGAGCGCCGTTGTCAAGCCGGGGGGGGGGGGGGGGCATCACCAACTCCAAGCCAGACTACTAAAAGGGCTCAGTGATCCTGATGAACTAACCCTGCTAATACCCTTCTTCTTTGTACTCTTCTTCTCAAGCAAGCGCAACAACATCTGTCCCCGTCTTTCCGGCCTCCTCTTCTTCCCTCACATCCCTCGCCGTCCTCTCCAGTATGGACTACCGTCTCGAACAACTCAACGCGGGACCAGACGGCGCCCACGTTCTCGCCTCCTGGCTGGGGATGCTCTTCTCCGTGTCCATCAACGTCGACGCCGTGCCGGCCTGCGCGACGCACGACACGCCCTCGCAGCGCATGTGCCGCCTCGTCCAGCGTCTCCAGGACACGAGCATCTCCGACGACGAGTACGACGTGGTGTCGCAGCATCTCTTCCAGCAAATCGCCGCCGCCGGTGGCTCTCTGCTGCGGCGCATCGTGACCAACCACCGAGCGCGTCCCGTCTCGCCGCGTCTCGCCGACCACCTCTTCCTGCCGATCCCGTTCCTGCGGCTCCTCGACACCTCCGGCAGCAGCGCGGGCCGGCTCGCGCTCGCGCCGTCGGCAAACAAGTACTTCCCGGAGCGCGTGCGGCACGCGCACCCGGGGGCCGAGCACCTGCCGTTCGCCATCGACCCGAGCCTGCCGGCGTACGGCATCGACGAGGTGCACGTGCTCGAGTCGCTCGTGCACGACCCGCTCGTGGACCACGTCGCGTGCCGCGTGCGCGTGCGCGGCGAGCAGCTCTTTTGCAAGGCGGAGCGCGGCGGCGTCGCGTTTGGCGACTCGGTCGTGGGACGGGACCTGCGCACCATGCTGGAGCTGCGGGCGGCGCTGCTG